TTTTAGTTTTCAAATTTGAAGCACGGTATCATAAGGTTGGTAAATTGCCTGGGTGTGGCCAGAATTTGGGATTGTCCTGCCTCAGCGTCCCAGAGTTCTGGGCTTATAAATGTGTACTGCCATGCCCAGTTTTCCCCCAAATTTTAAAATTTACACAGAGGCATATAATATAAAGAGATAAATTTAGTAATTAGTAAACTTGGATGAAAATAAAAAGGACAATAAGAGTAGAAATAATAAAGCAAATAAATAAATGACTACATTAAAAGATAAACAGGTGGCCAGGGATTTGGCTCAGTGGTTCTACTTGCCTGCCTCACAAGCGCAAGGGCCAGAATTTGATCCCTCCTGCTGTGAGAGTTAGGGTATAAACTTGGTTCTAGACCATGGCACAGTTAATGCAGAGATGCATATCTCTGTGTATTGGCTTAGTTAGTGTAATAATTTGTAGTTATTTGCCTTCTAATTTGGATTGTGTGGGTTTTGTTTTGTTTTGTTTTTTAGCAAGGAAGCTGAACTGGAGAAGAGTCATACTGCTCACATTCAGGCTACCCTGATTTTGCAGGAGAAGTATAAGAGTACAGTGCAAAACCTTGGAGATGTTACTGCCGAATTTGAAAGGTATTTTTCTTGAGAGCATCCACCATCAAATGTAATGTTAAGCCAGGAAAAGCATTTTCCTACAGAAATATCTTACCATTTTTATATAGCCATTTCCTTTTCCTGCCTCCAGTTCAAATTTTAGATATTCACAGGCTTTTGGCAGTTCTTTTCCTGATGTCATGATTTTGCTTAAACAATTGAAAGGTTTTGATCTCATCACCAAACTTATAAACCCCATGTTTATATTTTCTACCAAGCAGACAATTTATTTGTCTTTTAAATTTCATTGACCTCATTCTGTTCTTTGTTCCTTGTCACTTATGATTTTCACAGTTTCTCTGGAACTTTCCCAGTCAGTGTAAATGCATGTTACTGTGCAGTCATCTTTAAAATGCATAAATTAAAGAAAATCTTTTCTTTCACCTTCTTCTGCAGCTGTTCTAGCTTTATTCATTCCCCAAACCATTCATAACACAAAATTCAATTCTGTATGTACTTTCTCAGCTCCTTTCCCATTTATTTGTTACTTTCTTTTAAAAAAAATAAAGTTTAATTGCAAAAGATACCATACTTCTGCATCTCACACTAGATAATAATGTCAGTATTTTTATTTACTTTAGATCATATGGGGAAGAAGTTCTCATTACTGTCCCTGAAGAGATTGCACTGTTTTGAAGCCTCCATATATTATTTCCTCACATTTTTCTTATGAAGTGTAGCATCCATGTAAATATTACATTACCTGATTTTGCTTCTTTCTAAGTATCACCAGAAAATGTCATCATGAGATTTCCTGGGCCTTCCCTTTTCACTCTGCATGTTGTATTTTTGTAAGATCGAACTACATTGTTGGCCAAGACTGTTTGTTTTTGCTCGTGGTTGTTACTATGAATATTTCATTGTGTGAATATACCACAATGTATGTGTCAGTTCTGACTTTGGATTTTTGAATGCTTTCTCTCTCTAATCACTCTCTCACCAAAGCATAAATCTTTTTAATTTTGACAGGGTACCAAAATGATTTTATGTTATGGTTAATTGACCGGTGTTATGGATTGTCACTGTCTTCTCTCATGGTGTGGCTTGCCTTTTTATTTTCTTTATGGTTTCTTCTCATGAGTGGAAATTCTTTATTTTATTGTGATTAAATGTATACAGTACATGTTCAACTCCTATAAGAATTAATTTCTATCCTAACAACATAAAGAAATTCAACTCTTTCTTGTGAAAGTTTCACATTTCATTTTTTTCCATCTAAAACTAATTTATATATAGTGATTAAATCAGTTTCTGCTTTTACCCTATGGAATTAACCAATTCCTGCCACCTGTTCATTAATAGTACCTTCTTTCCCTGTTGCTCTTTTCCTATATATGATATATTACGGCAGAAACATAATTCACATTTGCTTATATTTCACTTATAATTATTGTCTCAGCCTGTCTCAATCCTCTAAAGGAATTTCCATTTTCACTGGTTTAAAAAATAGTGCTTCCAGTTTTGTTTGTTTGTTTGTTTGTTTGTTTTTTGGTACCAGGATTGAACTAAGGTCCTTGCTCTTGCAAGGCAAGCAGTGGAACCACTGAGCTAAACCTCTAGCTGAATATTTTTTTCCGTTGTTTAATTTCACTCACTATCTGTGTGCTAACAGCATTAACATTTATTTTTCTAAAATAGACCTTTGTTTTCTGCTAAATTGTAGTGTAACCCACTACTTTCTCATTATCTTAAAGTAGATACCTTGTTGTAACCTAATTTTGAACTGTGAGAAAAATAACTTATTTTTTATTGTTTATTGTCATTTTGTCATAGTCAGTGACATTTTGTCTTCCCAGCTTCTCATTGCATAATTTTTTTTCTTTCAAAAGTTTATTTAGTATCAAGCAAGAGGAGACTTTGCTTAACACTACAGAACATTTCAAGACTTGAGTTACAAAAGAATACCACATTATTTGCACTTGTAATTGGCTTCCCTTTTTACACATGTTGGCAAGAGAAGAAAAAAAAACTAGCATATGGCTGAAAGATAAAATAACTAAATTCTATGGAAACCTTTAAAATGAAAGTGAGGCTTATGTTAAAAAAATGGATTAACATATTTAGTTACCTATTTTTTTGTTTACCACTAGTTAAAGTTATTTTTTTCCTTTTGATGACCTATTTTTTCATATACAGACTGGAAATAAAAAATTTTACATCTTTTTTTTTCCTGACCAGGTTGACATTTCGACAGAGTAGTTTTAAGTTCCATCCATTCAGATTTTAAACATTTTGATTTATTTATAAAGGGATCGTTCATAGAAAAAATTACTTTGAACCATATACAGGATTGTGGAGATTGGCTATTTCACAACATCAGACAGTACACGTGTCTTTGATCATTTTCTCTACTGCCTGCAATATTTTTCTGTTCTGCATAGAAAAAAGCTCTCACATCTTTCTTTTTATTGCGGGCTCTTTATTTGAGCCTTTTTTATTGCCTACGGGGCTGATAATTATCTTCCTACTGATCTTCTAATTTTCTATTCCATTCACTTCCACAATCTGTCTCTGGAGTAATCCACATACTTAAGAGACTTTTAATGGCTCTCCTTTACCGGGTGCCCACTGTGCCCTGCTGTGATGATCTGCCCTGTGCCTCCAGCTTCTCCTGCCTGTCTTGCTCGTTAGGCTCTAGTCTCACCTCTTAGTGGGCTTTGTTTTGACAAGCCTGTTATCTTTATCCTCTGAACTACTTTCTGCTAACTGCCTGGCTCTTTACCCATCACCACTCAGGGTGATCATTTTCTCAAAAGGGCCTTTTTTCCATCACTAACCAACGTGTAGAGTCTTCTGTTTCAGTGATGGCAAACCTTTGTAGAGATGAGTGCCCACTTATCCCAAAGTGCCAACACTGCAATTAAACCTGGCTACTAAGGTTTTAGTTTAGAAAAGCAGCTTATACATTAACATCTTTTGTCTTAAAAGAAAAAGAACACAGGTGCCGTGATATGTTCACCACCACTGCTATTCTCTTAGCTTAAAGTTCTTTTTACTTTCTTTCATACACTTACTACAAATTTAATTGTATGGTTATTCAATTTTATGAGTAACAGGCATTTCCCATCTTCCCTTTAGGATCATAAACTGTGACAGTAGATTAAGAGACTGCAGATTGTGTATCTCTTTTGTTGTACAGTAGTACTCGTGTTTGGTGGTTGATTTTTTTTCTTCACCTCTTGCATACTCGCACTTAATACTTGATTTTTTTTTCCTCTAAGTGCACAAAAATGCCATGTAAATTCATTAGTACTTACTGTAGAACATCAACTACACTATGCACTACCTGTGTGTGCATAAATATATTTGTTTTCCCAAAAAGTGTAAAATGTAAACTGATCAGCTATGTGTCCTTTATTTATAACAGTTTAAAAAAAAGGCCTTTTTTTTTCTTCTTAATAAGCTATAAAGCATTAAAAACTAGTGAGATAGACGATCTTAAGATGGAGAATGCATCACTACAGGAAAAAGTAGCCAAAGCTGAAAAAAACACAGAGGATGTTCGACATCACATATTGAAAACTGAGAACAGAAATCAAGAATATGAGAGGTATGTGAACTAATAAAAGCTGCCCACATCTGCAGCCTTAGCAACATTAAGACAGTTTAATGTTGAAAGCCAGCTAATAAGTGATTAAGGAGTCATCCCATGGCTTGCTCTTGCTTTTGGCCCTCTTAAATTGCAAATTTGTGAATTTACTCATTTTAAAAATTATAGTTCTTAAATAAGTCCTTGAGGTGATTTGCTTTATTGTTAAATAAAACAGAAAAAAATAATTAGAATAGCTATAAAATATTCAATTGATTTTTTTATCTCAAACCTAAGGATTCTACAAGATCTGCAGAACAAGTCAGTATTAAAAGAAGCAGAAATTAAAGAAATCACAGTTTCTTCTCTTAAAAAAATAACTGATTTGCAGAACCAACTGAAACAACAAGATGAAGACTTTAGAAGGCCAAAAGAAGAAGAAACAAGGTAAGATAGATTTGGAACCTTAATTTTCTAAAAAAAACTAAGAAAAAAATCATTTTCTAATTGTTTTTCTATTGACTTTTTCCATACAGAAAATCTGAGAAAGAAAATATGACAGCAGAATTAACTGAAGAAGTCAATAAATGGCGTCTCCTTTATGAAGAACTATATAATAAAACCAAACCTTTTCAGGTTTGTCACTTAAAATTAAACTTGTGTTTATTTTAGGAATTCATTTTGTTACCTATTACAGTCAGGGATTTTTTTTTTTTTTTCCTGCAGGATTACTTTGTATTTATAATTCTAATTTAACTTCCCATGAAAGGCTTATAAATTTTATACATAACCTTTTCCGGCTCTATTGACATATACTTTATAAATACAGTCGCATAAATTTGTAGTATAGCCTTTGCAGATTAAAAAAGCTTTCAAAAAAGAATTTAAATTTAGCATTTCAAAAGGCTCTCCTAACAGGAACTTCTGATAATTGATTTCTTACAAGATGATATGCATCTTGTTATGATCTATTATAGTAATTCTCAAATTAATGATCTTGTTAAAGGAAAAAAAGAAATACTAATTTGGGCACTTAAATTGAGTAGCTGTACTTATTCAAAATGTTATTGATGTAGGGGAAATAGATGTGACTCCCAAACCTACTGGATGTTCCATGCATCAAGTTCATTTTCCCCAAAATGGAAGAATGAATTCTGATGAACGTCAGAGGTTACGAGTAGGAAATTTTATGGAGGGAGAGACAGCTCCTGAGAGACAGAAGGGGACCTGGAAAGGTTATCATAGACTCTGCTTATAGGGGAGATTTTATAGAGCAAAGTCAAGAGGTAGGTACAAGATGGGATAAAACTATGATCAACCAATAGAGTTATACCAGTATAGTTGCCTAGGTACTATTGATCCAATGAGGAAGCAAATCATGTAGCAAGTATACATAGATGACATCATTAACCTTGATTGATAATTCATACTTTTAGTCTTGTCCTTACTTTAGTAGTCTTAGTCTTGATGGGTGGGAAAAGATGGCCCACCCTTAATGAGATAGTGGTTGGTTTATGGATCTCAAAAGGGTGGTACTGTAGCTTTTGTTTACCCCTCAAAGATGTGTAGGCATTTCATCTTTGTCTGGAGGCCTGGCTTTTGTGCTGCCTCCACCCACAGTTTTGTTGTGTTCTCTGCCCTGACGGGAGGGCCTAACTCTGATTGCCTATGATACTTCTACCTAATTTAGCTGTCTGTATATCATGCTGCTCTTGCTGAAACACATAAAGCTGGCTCCCTGGCTTTCTTTCCTTATTTCTTTTTCTGTTTTAATGATCTTTAAAATTAAAAATGCAAAGTTTGAAAGATTTACTTAGTCTGTGGAGAACCTTGAGAATAAGTAAGTATATTCTGGTTTTATTTGGTTTTAAACTTTTAGGCTGTTTTTTTTTTTTTAATGCTTTATAAGAAATTAGTAAAACAACAGTTTTTAGATTCTTAACCTTATAAAAACAAACATCTTTTCCAGCAACAACTGGATGCTTTCGAAGCAGAGAAACTGACCTTGTTGAATGAACATGGTGCAACTCAGGAGCAGCTAAATAAAATAAGAGATTCATATGCTGAATTATTGGGTCATCAAAATCTCAAGCAAAAAATTAAGCACGTTGTGAAATTGAAAGATGAAAATAGCCAACTCAAATCGGTTTGTAAAATAAAATTTTTTTTTTTTAGGTACTGAGGTGACAGGCTTATTACTCTATGTATTTATAGTATTTAAATGTAGTAAGTCTTCATTATCAAAAAATAATAGTTTATAAAGTAAAATCCATCTGAGATTAAAGGATTTGTTTTAGTTCTGACTAGATGAGTATTCAGTGTTGTCAGGTTTTGTAACTATAATTTAATGTACAGAAAATTACTGGGGTAGGCAGTGGTACATGCCTATAATTCCAGCACTTGGGAAGGTGAGGCCAGTTTAAGGCCAACCTGGACTACATAGTGAGACCCTGTTTTTAAGAAATTAAAAAAGGGGCTTGGGATTTAGCTCAGTGGCTCTGCCACCTGCGTCACAAGCTCAAGGTCCCGATACCCCCGCAAAAAAATAAAAGTAAATTTAAAAATTTAAATAAATGAATATGTAACTTATAATTGGAAGAATTTGTGAAGCTTTACACATCAATTTCTCTTTGCTAAATAGTGAGTTCCTTGATAACAACACAGGCAGTGCTCAAAATAGTGCTTAAATTTTTAACAAGTTTATTGAGATGTTATTCCATCCCATACAATTCATACATTTAAAGTGTACAGTTCAGCCAGGCATGGTGGCGCATGCCTGTAATCCCAGCACTCAGGAGGCTGAGGCAGGAGCATTGCTTTGAGTTAGAGACCAGCCTGGAGTACACAGTGAGTTCCAGGTCAGTCTCAACTACGTAGTGAGACCCTGTCTCAAAAAGCCAAAATAAATAAATAAATAAATAAAATAAAATGTAGAAAGTGTACAGTTCTGTGATATTTTTAGTATATTCACAGATGTGTGTAACTATCACCATAGTGAACTTTGTTTTGTTTTGCTTTGAGACAGGGTCTATGTAGCTCAGGCTGGCTTTGAACTATGTAATACAGGCTGTAGGCTGGCCTTGAACTTGCTGTGATCCTTCTGCCTTAGCCTCCCAGATGCTGGGATTTTTGTTTTCTTTTGTTTTGTCTTCTTTTTCTGGTACCAGGGATGGAACTCCTGTCCTTGTGCTTGTGAGGCAGGTAGTGGCACCACTGAGCTAAATCCCCAGCCCCCAAGTGGTGGGATTATAGTCTTGTACCACCATGCAATACCATGGTGAACTTTAGAACATTTTCATCACCTCAGAATGAAATCATGTGTTATCATTCTCCTGTCATCTCATTCTACCCTACTCTTCTAAGCAACTATAAATCTGCTTTCTATCTTTATAGACATCCCTATTTTAAATATTTCATGTTTGTGGAATCAAATAATATGTAATATTCTGACTGTCTTTAAATTAGGATAATGTCTTCAAAGTTCATCCATGTTGTAGCATGTATGAGTATTTCATTCCTTTTTTTTTGTCTTATGATAATTCACTGTGTAAATTAACATTTTATTCATCTACTCAATAGTTCATAGATATTTGCATTGTTTCTCCCTTATGGCTGTTACAAAGAATGTTACTCTAGGAACATTTGTGTACAGGTCTTACATAGAGACATTTTTCTGCGATACGTACATAGCAGTGAAATTGCTGCTAGTGAAATTGTTTTTAGGAACTATTTTCAAAAATGTGCCCTTGCATATTCCATCCAAAGTGTTTAATTAGCAGTTCCACTTTTTCTGTATCTTCACCAGCATTTGGCATTCCCTTATTTTCTGATTTTAGCCATTGTAGTGGGTGTAGAGTGGTATTTTATTGTGATTTTTTACTAGTATTTCCCCAATAGCTGATGATGTTGATCATGTCTTTATATGTTTTTCCCTGATATATGTTATGATTGAGATAATACAGTGTTACCTTGGTTCACAAGCTTAATTTGTTCCACAGTTCTGGAAAAGATGGTAACATTCGTGTTTGCGTGGGAAAGATGTCACCCAGTGTAGAGTTCATAGACAAAAATAAAATTTTGCCAACCTCTTCTGTTTGCAAACCAAATTGTTCGCAAACAAAAGTGTTCGTGAACTGAGGTACCACTGTATGCTGTAGCACTTCTGGGTGCTTTCTTTTTGTGGACTTCTGTTATTTGCTAGTCTGTTTGATTACATCAGCTTGATTAAGTCTGTTCTACCATCCCTGTTGTAAGTTTTGAATCTTAAATACACCCCGAAGGTTCGTGTCTTCGATGGTTAGCCCTTAGCTGATGATGCTACTAGGTGATGGAAACTTTAAGACCAGGGTCCTAAAGAAGAAAGTGAGGCCGCTGGGGATATGGCTTTGAAAGGGAGATTCAGACCCCAATCCCTCTGTCTTTGCTTCCTGGCTGCCATGAGGTGAACCTTCTATTCCACCATATTCTTCCTGCCATAAAATTCTGCCTCACCTCAAACCTGGGGTGGGGGGGGAGAGAGCGAGCGCGCACAGACTAACTGTGGGACTGAAACTTTGAACTAAAAATAAATCTTTTTCTTTTAAGCTTAGTTTCTCAGGTATTTGCCCCAGTGACTGAAACACTAATGAATAAAACCTCCTCTTCCCAATCTTCCCAATAGTACTGTGCCTCTGATGTTGCTCCTTAGGTGCAGTTTGGGGGTATGCTCAAAATCAGGCTTGGTAAGGCTGTTTTAGTAGTTACCTTTCTGTTTTGAGACACAATACCTGATACCTGCAACCTAAGGAGGAGTGATTTATTTTGGTTCACAGTTTGTGAAGTTTTGGTTTGTAGTTGGTTGACTCTGGGCTGGAAGCAGCATGAGAGGAAAGCTGCTTAACCCATTGCAGCCAGGGAGCACAGCTCAAGGGAGGAGCCAGAGAAGGAGTCAGGCAGCAAAGGTCAGGCCGCCATCCGTGGCCCACTTCCTCCAAACAGGCCCCACCTCCTAAAAACCTGTTCAGCTATGAACTCAGCAGATTAATCCATTGATGAGGTCATTGCCTTCACAATATAGTGAGGTCTGGAGGAGTCTTTATCCAATCAACTTGATGATCAAGGTTAACCACCGGCCACCTGCCTCATAAGTGCAAGGTCCCAAGTTTGATCCTGGTACAAAAAAAAAAAAAAAAATTATTAACTAGCACATCTGTCTTCCCTTTTGCGTATGACACTTGGGTGCTAATTTCATTGGTTGCTGACTCTGCTGTATTTTTTAACAGTGCCTTGGGGACGTAATTGCTCTACACGTTAATTCTGTCAAATTCTTGCTCATATGTAGTAGTCATATCTGGGATCAGTTCTTGGCATTTGTTTTGACTCTGAGAAGGCTCCTTCCAGCTGTCTGTTCCCCAGTTCTGTCGTGTGAACAAGCCAGCCTGCATTTTAGCTCACTCTTTGAGTCACCTCCCACATTCCTTTTGTCACAGCCACCACTGTTGTCTAGCGTACCCTTATGCTTCAATATCTACAGTCTATTGTAGGTGAAGTCAGTTGGTTTGGGAGGAACTTCAGAGCTACCTGTTTTAAGACCTACTTTTCCCTCACACAGTCTCTTCAGAATAAGATGCTGGAGCTGGAGTTAGGGACAGTGGCAAACTTCTTTCTGAGTGCCACCTATGCCCGTGGAGCTGAGTTCAAAGAAGGAAAGAATTCACTGGAAGTAAAGAGGATGAGGAAAATAGCTGAGGTTCTTTTGGCTTGCCTCTCGTGGCATGAAACCACTGCCTCCTGAGCCAGAGCAAGGGTGACAGTGGCCCCAGCATTTTCAGCACACTGCCCAGGGCAGAGCTCCTCTACCACACATGGGACTGAATGGAGAAAGGGCTGTCCCTCCTCTCAGCAGCAGCTGCCTAGGATGTAACCTCAGCCACAGAGGAGCTTTGATGCCCTGCTCCTCCTGGGAAGGTGCCGGAGGAGGGAGGGCTACCTTCTTGGCTGCAGAAGCCGGGCATGAGTCTGCTAGAAGTAGGGAGGGCGGGGAGTTCTGGTGTATGCCACAGGCTTGCAGCTTTCCTTTAAAATTTGTACTGATTTTCTCACAAAATGTCTCTTCATTTGCTCTTTTGCTCCTAGGATTATTTTCAGAGGTCTTGCCTGGTTTCCATTTTATCATTTTTTAGTTTCAATGGGAAGCAAGCCATGGAGCCTTCATATTACTATGCCAAAAGCTGATTTCAGCAATTTTTATTGTTGTTCTTACTGTTTTTGTTTTGTAGTGGGGACTGAACTAGGGACCTTGTGCTTGCGAGGCAGGTGGCCAAATCACTGAGCTAAATCCCCAGCCCTGTTTTTTTTGTTTTTTGAGACAGGGTCTCACTATTAATTCAGGTTGAACTTGACTCACTATGTAGTCCAGGCTGGCCTCAAACTCTGTGGTGATCCTGCTGCCTTGGCCTGACTGAGTATGGAAATTACTGGCATGTACCACCACACCCAGCTCAACAATTAGTTTTCAATTAAACTTTTATCAGAAAATTAGCTGTAACAAGATCTCAATGATAAATATAACTGTGTTGTTCGCTTTATTTTTTTGTTTTGTTTTGTTTTTTGTTTTTTATTTTGGTTTTTTGGAGACAGGATCTCACTATGTAGTTGAGAATGACCTGGAACTCACTATGTAACCCAGGCTGGTCTCGAACTCACAGCAATCCTCCTGCCTCAGCCTCCCAAGTGCTGGCATTACAGGTGTGAGCCACCACGTGGCTTGTATTGTTTGCTTTAAATGTACCAATAAACTTAATGGGGGGAAAAAAGAAAAATAGCTGTAGAGAAGTGATAAGATTTAAGACTTTATCTCCTCTCACCTAGTATCAAAGTGTATGTAATAGTACTTTTTGCCATTAGGTATGATACATAAAGCAACTTCAGAATTTCCCTGCAGTGTTGGTAACACATTTCGCCAAAGTGATCTTTAATACTTATTATTCGTATTTTTCTCATCTAGGAAGTGTCAAAACTCCGATCACAGCTTGCTAAAAAGAAACAAAATGAGACGAAACTTCAGGAGGAACTGAATAAAGTTCTGGGTGTCAGACGCTTTGATCCTTCAAAGGCTTTTCAACATGAATGTAAAGAAAATATTGCTCTGAGAACCCCACTGAGAGATAGTAAAAAAGGAATACATGTGTAGCACTGTCACCTGTGTTTGGATTTGCTTTCATGACGGTAGCAACTTGCCTTCTTATGAACTGTGAAAATTTATTGATTCCTTATGATATGAAAGAACCCCTAACCAAAATTGATGCATGTAATGTCTTTCCCGGCTTTCGTATTCTCAAACAGAACTAGATCCTCCTGTCCTTAATGGCCTATTCAGATTACATCTTCCTTTTTATTTTGTGTGAACTTTTTGCTCTTACCTGCACCCTGTACCATAAATTATTCTCTGTATAAAACCTTTATATTTTAACCTAAATGTCTCTTAGGTCCTTAAGTATTCTCTAATTTGAAGTTTTAGAGAAGGAAATTTTTCTCTTTTGGCATGGAATGTTTGTATTGCACAGTAAATGCAAATTGGTTAAAATAGTAAATAAAAGAATAAATGTGAAATAATGCTGCAGAACGTAAGTGTTGCTTCATCTGTCTTTAAGAAAATAGAAGGCCCAGAGGCGGTGAAGGAGGAGCTGTCCTCACAGCTCTGCCTCCCTCGTGCTTTCTCAGGCATCGTGGTGCATGTGGAGGAGGCAGTAGCCTCAGGAACCACCCTGAACGGTGATATGGACCCAGAAGACAGCAGAGAGGAAGCTGCTTATATGGCTGAGGAAGCAGCCAAGAAAAAGAGATGGAAGAAAAAGAGTAAAGGAGCTGTTGCAAGGTAGCAGGAATCTGATAAAGAATCAGAAGCTCCTACAAGGGGAAAAAATGAGAACCAAGACCTGTCATGTAAAGGTATAAGATCCTAACTGTACTGTATACCTAAAATGTACCAGTAAACTCAATGAGGAAAAAAGAAAAAAGAATTAGAAGCCTCTGTGGATGAGGTAGTGAAACAGTGGAAATACAAGCACTGAAAGCCATAGAGATGATGATGATGGTGGTGGCGGTGATGGTGGAGGAGGAGGAAGAGAAGGAAAGAAGAAATAGTAGAGAAGATCAAAAGTTCAAACAGACCCTCCTGAGGTTCTGATATGTGACCTGTATCCTAACGGTGTGTTCCCCAAAGGACAGTCACGCAAGTGCCCACCCACACGAGACCTGTGAACAGCTGCTTAGAGAACTACAAGTGTAGAAAAGAAAGCATTAGACGAGGCTAAAGAAGAGATTTGGAATGATTTTCAAGAAGCTGTGAAAGCACGTCAACAAATTAGAGTATACATTATGAGCTGGATCCAGCCTGAAATGATGATGGTGATAGAAATCTGAGTGTTTGGAAGACTTCACTCAAGCTTATAAAACAGAGTGGCTTACACGCAGGCTTGCCCTTCCCACTGGGTGTTCTCTCCGTAACTGCGCTGCCCACTCTCTTCCCAGTGCGGGTGGCACAACAGTGCTACAGTGTGATGACATCTGTAAGATCAACTTTGGAACACGTATAAGTGGTAGGAATACTGACTTTTTATTGTCACTTTTAATTGCTGATATATGTTTTGGAAAGATGGCACTAATCCTGGACTAAAGTGTGCTGGCATTGATGTTCGACTGTGATGTTGCCGAGGCCATCCAGGAAGTTGTAGAATTTGATGAGGTGGAAAAAGATGAAAAGACAGTCCATAACCGGAATGGACCTTTATTTGGGCTATACAGAATACACAGGAGAAGACCATGTACATGGTGAAGGGTGGGGAGGCAGTGAGGATGGAGGAAGGAAAAGTGCACGTCATTTAAACCTTTGGTAAATACAGGGAAAGATGTTCTTGATGACAGGGAGCATTCATATTACATGAAAAATTTTGATGTTGGACATGTGCCAGTAAGGCTTCAAAGAACAAAGCACTTCTTACAGATCATCAGTGAAAACCTTGGCACCCTTGCATTCTGCTGCAGAACGGTAGATTGCCTGGGAGGAAGTGCATGCTTGATGTTGCTGAAGAATCTGTGACGTGCACGTTGTAGATCCGTATCTCCCCTGTGTGACAGTAAAGGGGCATACGCAGTTTGCGCAGTGTGAACTTACCACACTACTGTGTAAAGAAACTCCGCAGAGGAGCTGACTCTTCAGCTTAGTTCAAAGCTACCTCAACATACTTTATTTTCTTTTTTGTTTTTCCTTGGTGAGATAAGGTCTCGCTATGTAGTTCAGCCTGGCTCTGAACTCACAGCAATCCTCCTGCTTCAGCCTCCTCCGTGGTGGGATTACAGGCGTGCGCCACCAGTCAGGCTAACATCTTTATTTTCTAAGCTTTGTTGAAATATACCAGAATGAACTTGCAGCCTGCTGTCTGTTTTAACGTTGGGCCTGTGTAGTATTTTTATCCATGTTGAATTTGATTTTGATCAAGGAAAAAGCTTTCAGTGACTTTCAAACATTAACTGTCTGGGAATTGCTAGAAAGCTCCGATTAGTTAGGAATTCCATACTGTTTTTAGAACACCTAAGCCATGTCTTTTGGGTATTTCTATTGCCGTATTCTTACTTGTGTGCTTTGAATGACTGAGTGCATCTGTGTGCCACGCCCTCTGGTACTGCTTTACACTCTTCCTGGAATCCACTTTCTAAAACATGAAGACATTTTCAGATTTGGAAAAAAGGAAAATATTGTTGATTTATGTTTATAAGGATATTTTATAATGTTGTATTTAAGTACCTATCCATATGTGAAATGAAATTCAGCACTTTCCACTAAAATGTCTTCTGATTTTTTTTTTTTGGCTACCAGGGTTTGTACTCAGGACCTTGCATTTGTGAGGCAGACGTGCTGCCCCTGAGCTAAATTCCCAGCCCTGATATTTTATTTTCTATTGTTAACTACCTCCTTGATACTCTTTTCCTTGCCTTCTGAACATTTTGACTTTCAGCTTGCAGGGCATCCTATCATATCACCCTAACTTGATTATAGAGGACTTTGCTAAGCTTAAAAAGATTAAAAGGTGAAAGCTTGTTCTTGACTCTATTTTGATTTCATGATAATGTTGTTTCCCACCATCCTCCAGTTGTCCAGTTCAAATAAGAAACGACAAGCTTGACTCCACAGTAATCTCATTACCTTTCATCAAAGTCATTGAGTTTTTTAATAATTTACACATTCCTAAGCTCTATTCCAGTTCTGAATTAAATCATAATTTCCCCTATAAGCCTGCATTTTTAATAAACTTGTTAATTCTTAGAAACACAAAATCTGAGAGAAAGTCTTCTATTAACTTTGTTAGAGACTGTCAGCTGCTTGTTTATTATAGTTAGTATAAGAAAACTACAATAAATCATCTATCCAATTAATTTTTCAACTTTCATTTTATGAGCTTAAAATATAATTATGTGTCTGCCTTCTTCACACCCCTCTGTGGGACATCAGAGGAGCCTTGGGGCCTAATCGGCCTCTGGTCACAATGGAGAAAGGCTGCACTCAGGGATGATTGCATATTGCTGGTTCTATGGAAAAGACAGCTGAGGTTAAGTTGTTCACCTGACCATGTACTAACGGATAATAGAAAGCAGAGGGGTCTTGTGTTACTTTGATTGCTTATACGTGTGTTTGGATGAATAAAAGCCAAATGAGCCAATGCTGAGCCCCTCAGCCTCTACAAGCAAGAGCGCCTCCACCCACCCACATTCAACTGACTCCGTGTCTCTTTGTCGTTCATCCTGTCATTTGTCCTAAGTCAGGGAGAACAAAATAGTAGGTCTAGGTCCCCCACAAGTGGCACCTAGGTGGGGAAAGCTTGGAGGAGTGGCCTGGCTTCCCATGGGTGGCACCTGGGACAGGAGGGACCTGAGACCAACAGGGAAGACCAGCTGGTTGCTTTGGCTACAGCTGATGCCCAGAGATTTGAGACCAGAGTTGCCTACACTTCTTGTTTGCCAAGATCACAAACAAGACAGTTTAAGGGCCAGGGATTTAACTCAGTGGTTCCGCTGCTCGCCTTGCAAGTGGAAGGTCCTGAGTTCAATCCTGCAATCCCTGGTACCAAAAAAACAAACAAGCAAAGAAGACAGTTTAGAAAGTGGTATTTCTTCTAATTTACTGTATCTGATAAGCATAGCTGGTATATTTCATGAGTCAGATCTAAGATGTCCCTTCAGAGTGTCCTGTGTTCAGAAGTGGGGGTTTTGGAAGTTGATTGGGTAATGGATTATTCCCTTGAAGAGTTCATACCTGAATAAATGTAGTTCGGAAGTGGAGCCTGACCGGAGGATTTGGGTCACTGGGAGGATAATCTGAAGCTTGTTCATCTGTCCTACTCTTTCTGCTTCTGTGCACCGTGATGTAAACAGCTCTTCTCTGCCACGTCCTTCCATCGTGCTGTTTCTGCCTTGTAGGTAACAGCCAAAGGAATCTCTCCCCCTTTGAGTCCCAGATGTCAGATATTTTGTCTCAGTGTTGCAGTGTGAGGCTGTGGCTGTGCAGAGGATGAAGATTTTTCAGGCAAGATTTACAATCAACAAGAACTCCAGAGGGGCTGATGCTTGGCCATGAGAGAGCCTCACAGAAACAGCAACCGAGACCTCTGCAGTTTTTTGTTCATATCTCAGGGACATGAGAACAAAGATGTTGAAGAAAAGCTTGCTGCAACTTATTGTATGGGAGTTTTTGGCAGGTGATAGGGCCAACGTGAGATGGTTTCTGAAGTGACACATGTCGACCTAGTTCAGGCAATCTTGTTGTGGCAGAGGGAATACATTGGCCGAAGCAAACGTCTTTAACAGTAACTTGCTCTTAATTCTGCGAACTTGTCCTGCAAATTTAAAAATCTTAACCATGCATTCCAGAAGCATGGGAACTGTTGTTCCCCAAGCTGCTCTTTAGCACACTCAGGTTCAGTTACTCCTTTGGCTAGCATTTCCCCATAATTTCCCCTTTTTTAATAATTTAGGTTGGACAAAGTGGGGAGAGTACAGGATAAAGGGGTATTGGACTTGATGCAGGAAAGTCATCATGCCTTCCACGTGGAGGGTCCATTGGAACAGCATACAGAGCACTCGTAGAACTTCCAGAAAGCTCCTAAAAAGGGTTATTCCAATAGTTACAAGAATCCAAATGTAGGGCCAGGGTTGTAGCTCAGTAGTACCATGCCTGCCTGGCAAGTGCGAGAACCTGAGCTTGGTACCAAAAAAAAAAAAAAAAAAAAAAAA